TTTTTTTTTTTTTTTTTTTTTTTTTTTTTTTTTTTTTTTGTATTTTGTATATCTATTATAATTTATATTAATATAAAGTAAAAATATAAAGAATACAATGAAGATGGGAAAAAAATTGCACTTATACTTTGCAAGTGCTTTTTTTATTTAAAACTTACAAATTGAAGTTTGCATTTAACAAGTAAATTAACGAAAAAAGAGTAAAACTAAATTTTTATTTAATCTAACAAACTATGAGAAATGAGAGATGAGTGAAGAAATGAAGAAGAGGTGGTGTATTTATAGTTTTTCAAAGGGCTAAATTAGTAATTACAAAAAGTGTTATTTTATAATAAAAAATTATCCAAAAAGGGGCTATTTGTTCAATAATAACGTTGGGCAACGGCCATAAGGCAGCTGACCGTTGCTAATGTTCTTCAACCTTAAAAAAAATTGAAATCTAGCCGTTAAATTAGCCCGGGCCGGTTAACCGGTTCTACAGAAATTTTGGTTGATCAGATTTGACCGATCCGATTAACCGGATGAATGAAAGTAAATGGATCAACCCCCTAATCCCAGTAATCCAGCCCATCCGGCACCTGTATTCTTGTCCGGGCCACTCAGGAAATAGGTTGATCCAGCCCGTATAACACCCTTGGTCCAAACGCCCACTACATAGTAGCATCACTTGGTTCATTTGGTTGCCTTCTACCTAACCTGGCTATTCATTGGCTGCTAGATGTGGTCCATGAAATACAAAAAAAGTTCAATTCACCAAACAGAAAAAAAAAAAATTGAAGCTATCATCATCATCATCATTACCTCCATCACTACTTGAATCCACACACCACACTTTAAATTCCAAACAATTCCCTCTTTAACTTCCTTTTCTTCCACTCCTTCTCTCTTTTTGCACCTTTTTCTTCTTGCTGCCTCTCCTACCCCTTATGTCTCAACTTCCCTTGACTCAACTCTCTCTCCCTTTCTCTCACCTAAAATCTCTCCCTCTCACCGCCCCCACCTCCACAAAAGAAAAAAGGGATTGTACTCCTCAAAATCATGTGCTTTCAAGAATGTCATTATGGTTAGTTGGTTTGACATGCCATGGTTTGTCCTCTGTTTCAAACGACGGTAAGAGCAAAATTTGATAGAACAAGAGAAGAAGATAAGTAAGAAACTTTGGGACAATGAGTAGGAGGATTCTCAGGAGATTTTACGTATTCATTCAACTCGGCTGTTTTTTTATCTGCTCAGGTAACGAGCTTTATCTTCTTCTTATAATAATTGACGTGAATCCATGTCCAATAATGGCTGCATAAGTTTCTTTTGCAACAGATCATCTTATTCTCTCTGTTGTTATGAGCCAAAAAGATGCTATATATGTTGATCTTTTTTCTTTTCCCACTTCTTTGCTTGCTTTAGGATGTTATTTTAGTACTATTTCTTTTGCCCTTTTCCATTTGAGTCTTCTATTAATATATCTTAAAGAACATTTATGTTTAGGTCATTTTTGTGTCTCAAATGTTTCAGTCATAATTCATAAAAGCATAGGAGAATTTGCATGTTAAGTTTCAATTTGAATTCCCTGTTTGAATTATTATCCAGATGGAGTGATTGACTATTGAACTTTTCCCTTTAAAAAGGACAATGATTACTAATTTCGTCTTTTTTTGACTCTGTATCCATCTTTTTCTTTGCTCATCATTTCCCTACCGAGCTTTCTTTTATGCACAAACGACACAGATTATTGGCTGTTGCCTTCAAATTTTAAATGCCTATAGCGCCTCTTTTTTCCCCTGGTCAAATCAAATGTTTTGAGCAAGTAGCATTTAGATTTTAGAATCATATTTCAATTTTTGCCTTGCTCTACAAATCCTAATACTTCTTTCAACAACAAGAATTCCTACCGGCGGAATTTATGGAGGGTAGAGTGTAAGCAGACCTTACCCTGCCTTGTAGGTACCTCGGCTCAATAATACTTCTTTCAGTTTATCATAATAATTCTGCGTTTTGATCAAGCAGCATAAAGTGTATATTGAAAATAGGCATAATTATATGAACATAAATCTCATTTTAATTGCTAAAAGTTAAATTGGAAGTCGCTTCCATTACAAGCAAGGAATCTTAATTCCCTTTAAGTTGCAAATGCAGCAGTTAAAAGTGTTCCAAGCTTAAACTTTTATCCTGCACATTTATCTAATTAAAATCTAAAAACAAATTATCTATTAATGCTGTTGTGAATTTGCAGGTTCAAATGCTACACACATTATAAGATTAGTAGAACAGAATTCTAAGACCATTTCCAGCAGCCAAAAGGACATAACAACTCCAATAACAACAGTTCCAACTGGAACTCTTACCACCACCACAACAACTCCAGTACTGAATCCAACAATCTCAGATCCTGATTCAACAACTAGTGGTCAAGCCAATCCGGTAATGACAACAGGATCTTCATCATCGGGCTCGAGCTGGTGTGTTGCTAGCCAAGCTGCCTCACAAACAGCATTGCAAGTTGCATTAGATTATGCTTGTGGCTATGGTGGTTCTGATTGTTCTGCCATTCAGCCTGGTGGCAGCTGCTACAACCCTAACACGCTCCGCGATCACGCTTCCTTTGCATTCAACAGCTACTATCAGAAAAATCCAATTCCTAATAGCTGCAATTTTGCTGGTGCTGCTGTTACTACAAACACCAATCCCAGTAAGCTAACAATTCCCATTAGTCCTGTAACCAAATCAAAAATTTACTATTTTTACTACTACTACTACTACTTCTACCTTTAATTTCTTATGTAATTGATTAAATTTTAATATGTGTGCAGGTAGTGGTTCATGTCAATATCCATCAACAAGGTGAGATTTTAACATGAATAAAGTTGTATTTTTTTCCCTTCAAATTAAGCATTTGCATATAGAGTTTCTGATTAATGTTGGGAATTGCAGCACAAGTGCATCCATTTTGAATACAACAAATTCAAGCGGTTCGACAGTATTTGGTGCTGGGCCTATTACACCTTCTACTTCAGCAGCTGTCCCTCCAAATAAGTTCCTAAATTATTACTGCCACATCTTAACATGTCTTGTGATACTACTAGCTTACCATGGTCGATGAAAGCCAATTTTATTTCTTGGCAATTTTGGAGGAGACGAGCTTTTTTGACAGGATTATAGATAATTAATATTGGGAAAATGGTGTGACGAGTGATGTCAAATTGGATTAATTGTTTCTTTTTTAATCAATTTGCTGATATGACATCTTGTGTTTAGGGAGAAAAAGAAATTGTGTGCAGAGCTGCTGGATTTGCAGTGTTGATACTATGCTTTTTTGTAATACTGCTACTAGTAGTTATGTGGATAAAAGATCAAACAAGATACGTATGGTCCTTTTTTTTATGCTGTAGCCTAAAAGTTGAGAGGAGACTCTTGCTTGGGAATTGTGTTGAAGGAAATTGTTACACTGACAGTTTCTGAATATTAAACTAGAGAGTGGCGAAGAATAGCTTAGGACAAGATCAGAGGGGTAGCAATCTTCTTTCGCGTTTTGAGTCCAGAAAGGGTGAAAACAAAAATTAAAGTAAAAGAAAGGAAAAGTGAGGACAATAAAAGCAAAAAGGGGCCAAAAGAAAAAAACAGAAATCACTTGAATCAGGATAATATATAGAATGTCATGCTAGTAAGAGATTAATTTGGGCTTTTCCTTTCTTTCTTCCTACGAGCCTAGTAGATTTTTCAGTACTGTACTAGTCAAATTTCATAATTTTGACCGTAGTCGCATTAGAACAATTAAATTAAGACAAAAAAAGAAGTAATGGTCGATCATGCTTTACTTTTTAAGAAAAGGTTCAAATTTGCTCTTCAGCTAATGACGTGTGTTTGCACGTGTACATTACGTCAGTCATTATTAACGAATACAAGAAGAAGAAATTGTTGAAATAACAATTGATAAATCAAATATTAATATTTAAATTATGTTTAATTAATTGTATAATAGATCAAATATATAATTGATATAATATAGATGAATAATATTTTTTTTCTTTATATAGAATAAAATGTTAATATGATAACGTTTCTTTTTAAAATTATATATGAACTACTATTTAGAATTTTGAAGTAAATTGAGAATTTGCGACTTTAACTTTTCTATAATTACTCAGCTTAACATATAAGCTAATACCCAATTACTTGGAATCATTTAAATCGCAAATTCGGATGTGTTCGATGTTGTTATATAATTGTGCTTCGAGAATGTACTACTATTTCATGTGTTTTAGAGTAAAAACAATTATATCTTAACGTGTATTTATTATTGGAAACAATTGAAAACTCTCTATTTTTCAATATATATATACATATATAGCAACCTCCACAAACTCCTCCCTAAATATTAGGATATTTTTACGTAGTTCAATAAGGAAAATAATTGAATTTAAAGTCCTAAATATTAGGAAAGAAACTTAAATTACAATTTTATCCCATAAAAAACTATTTTTAAAGGGTAAAAAGGACGAACGACATTTCGCTAAGGGCCTTCGTGCTTTTAATATAGTACTTGTCTCTATGAACGTGCTTTGCACGTTATCCTTAGACAATCACAAACATCAATATTATGTAATACTATTTTTAATTGCATTAAATTTATTTTATGAGGTTCAAGAAATGTTATTAGATCGTATCCACATACCCCTTTAAACATGGTGTCTTGGTATATATTCCTTTATTCTTCTTGCCCATTTGAAAAATATGTGATGATAAATAATCTAACATTAGGGATTTGATCGATCATATAATTTATTTATTGCTATTATAAATATAAAACGAATTGAAAATATTTACTAAATATATTTTTAAA